GGGTAGCGAAATAGGAAGCCCTTCAATTTGTGCCACTCCATACAAAAAAGAAAGGAGAAAGGAATGTAGAGTGCAAGGCCTCTTGATTCTCAGGAAGGCCTTTCGGAAGGGCTTTTAACTCCTGAAATTATCTACTGGGTACCTAACAGTGAAACTTACCTTGGATCGCTACATATATATGTGTATTACACAAGTTATGAGTATAAGTATTTGAATAGTAAAAACTGCATCCTTGAAATATCTCATAAACTTGGCTAAAAAGTTCACGATTTTCGAAGTATCATATATTTTGTTTATTACATTGGTACTTGAACATTTGCTAGCGAAGAGACAATACTCTGGAGTTTCCGTATCCGGTTTGAAAAGGGGAAAGTAAAAAGCAATTAGACAACCAGAGAACGGGATTCGGCCTTATATACATAAGTCCCAATTTTGGGATTTTATTTGAAACTCGTTCGCAGTTCATATTAATCCACTAGATTAACAATTTGTACTATATGGACTTTTCCGTCGGAAGGTTTACCGCGAGAAAGTCATATATTTTTATAATATATACTGCTTATGCAGGCAACAAATTTTTTGCAAAAAATCATCTCGCCAGGTGGCGCCAGCGTAGAGATATAATGAAAGCACCGTTTTTATAGTCCGATTTGCTTCAAATTAGGCATATGTATATAGTTAAAACATAATAGACGTCATAGACAGTGCGTCATAGACATCTGTGTACGTGTGGACTTGCCTTTCGACTACGCAGTTGGGTTATTCTTGAGTCTTGTCGGCGTAACTAACTACCACATACATATTTATTTTAACTAACATATCCAAACCGATTCGTGAGTCTGACGCACCGTGTATGCCGCCTATAATAAGGCATACGGGCATGTTCTGAATTTGGAAACTTTGAAATCGACTCGATTTGCCAAATATTTTTTTTTTTATTATATCTGATGAAAAGAAAGAATATTCTAATTGAAAACCATAAAAGAAGCAGCAGCGATATAAAATAAATCATTTTAATGCGAGACTTATAAATTTTTGGGTTAAAAACCATCGAAAAAATTATCGAAATCGAGTCAATTTAAAATTTTCGAATTTCAGAACATGCCTGATAGATTTCCAAAAAATTGACGCTGAGTTGAAAAGAAAAAAATTAACTTTCACTTTTGTGGCATAATGTCACTCTCTTTAATTGCGTATATTTAAGGACAAGTGGTTCGATTGTTTTCTTTTTTTTTGGTGCTGCGCAAGGTCCAAAAAAGTAAAAAATTGTCCATATTTGTATCTCATTGTAACGTACCACTGTCACGTACGCGACTAATGAAATGCCCATATGGCTTGTTAAGTTAAATTAATTTCTTTACTCAGTATTATTCTTATTATGGTTGCACTTGTATATGTCACAAGCACACAGAAGAATGCGGTTTCTGTTATCCCTGTAGGAAACTCAAGTGATTTTTCGAGACTAGTTTGGAACAATTTTGCCATTTTTTGTTGTTGTTATTGTAACAGTCATTGTTGTACTGAATGAAACTGGAACAGTGGACCGAAATGGTGTTTCAGCATAAACCTAATCAGATAGCGCCATGGTTCTGAAAAAGTTCCAAAAAAAGTTTTTAAAAAACCCTTTCCTTTCTTTTAGGTCAAAAAATGGGTTTACAAGCATAACTTTGTTTTGAATTTAAAGTTGATAAGCGTGTGAAAAAATATCATTTATTTATTAATTTTTTTATTTCAGACGAGCATGAACCCACAGGAGCTTGACCAACCCTTTTTTAATGATTTGGTGTTCAGATTAAGAATTTAATAAGAAGGTTTGTATTTATTTGTCGCTTCAATCCATAATTTAAATACTTATTTTAACCAACTGTCGTTTTTTATTACCACAGCTCGATTACAGGGAGGGAAGGAAATAAATTAAATAAAAAGAAAAAATCAGTCACCGTAATTCAATACACTCTTGGTCTCAAACCCACATTCACGCCAGTAGCGGAGCGCATAACCAAATTCATTATCGGACGTACTGATTCGCCTAGCGGCAGTAACTCGTAATGCCGCAAAAGCTTGCTGATTGCGCTTTTCATCTCAAGCAGTGCAAATTTTTGGCCAATACAATTCCGCGGGCCTGCGCTAAAGGGCACATAAGCAAATGGATCAATTTCCGCACAACTCTCGACGTCGAAACGCTCCGGCACGAAATCATCGGGATTTACAAAGTAATTAGGATCACGCAATGCGGCATAAATTAACACGGAAAGATTGCAGTTCGCCGGCACTATTTGGCCGTCTGAAGAAAGGACGAAACGAGTGAGTACTAAGATCTAGATTTATAAAACTATCTCCTTATTTCAACCTACTGATCATCGCCTCACGCGTTGTTATTCGACCGATAATTGGTACTGGAGGGTACAAACGCAAACCCTCTTTAATAACGCATTCCAAGTACTTGAGCGCATGCAGCTCACGCATAGTTACCCTCCGATCTTTGTCCTTACCCAGTACATCTAATATCTCTTGAAATAGTTTACATTGCACCGCTGGATGACGTGCAATCAGATAGCAGGTGAAAGATATGCCACTGGTGGTGGTATCGTGCCCCTCGAACATAAATGTGTCCACCTCCTCGCGTATATCGGAATTTGATAGCGGCTTGCCATGGACTGTGGACTGCAGCAGTACGTCAAGGAAAGCCATGCGTTGCTTGGCGCCGATGTCGTTCATTTCCAAGTCTGTTTAGGGAAACACTTTAGAGATTTCTGTTATCAGTGTTTAAAAGTTATACATATTTACTTATGGCTTTATAACTGCCATCGGCGATAGTGCGTTCAAGGGTGCGGCGCCTCTCTTCAATCACGTTATCCGTGAATGAGTGCATTATTTTTATGCACTTTCTTAATTTAAGAGCCTTGCGCGGTGCGCTTAGGTAGAAGGTGAGGTCGTAACTTTGATGCGGTTTCATAACGCGTGTAGCAATAATGTCAGCGGCGCTGAAAAAAAAATTAAAAGTTCTTATAAGTTTTTAAAATTATTTACCAACTCACTCAGTTAACGCCTTTGCATAGGGGAATCTCGGGTTTCTTTGTGCGTCAATTTTTACACCCATGGCCGATTCGGAAATAATATCCAGCGCTGCTAAGCCGACAACTGGAAAAATATCCACAGCCGTTTTGCCATCGGCACGCGCTTTCAATTTCTCAACCATAACGATGCTTTGCTGATCGAAAATCTCCACAAACTGCTCAAGTATCTTGAAGTGAAATGTCGGTGTGATCACCTTACGTCGCGCGCGCCACTTGCCACCTGTGCTGAGCAGCAAACCGTCACCCAACCAATAACGTAACACGTCATAGATTACATCTTTCTTTATAAGCTCTTGGCTGCTTAGCAGACTCTCAAAGTGGCGTGCATCGCATATGAAAAGTATATCCTCGAAGAAGAACCACATATGCCATACTTTGCCCCAGCGAGCTTTGAAGCGATTTAGCATTGAGAAGACGTCTGCAATGTAGATTTAAAAAATTAATATGTGCCATATGAATAAATAAATATTGAGGTGCAGACACTTACTCGCTGTATCGTTACCAAAAACATGGGGTACATTGCCTAGAATAGGCCAAGGCCTTGGGCTTACAATGCCTGCAGCTGAGAATTGTGCATTGCGTCTGGTTTTGTAAAAATAATCGCAAATTATAAGCAGAAGAACGAAGCACGTAAATATCGTCAAAAACATATCGTTACCGTTTGAGTGGCTCTAATTGACTGGCAATGGTTCTACATGAACACCTTTTGCCCGATTGAAATTTGCTGGCGGAACACAGCAGTGGCTTATCAATATTGTGAGTATTCGAGTTTCTAAATAATTTTGAGTGTGGTTGGGTGACGAACGAAGGCCTGACGCTGAGCGCGAGGCAGATTGGGCATAAGCCCAATGTTTCAAGAAATTTACGATGTAAAAAGGGTCGCCAAAGATGCTGCTTGGTGATGGAAAATTACTGCAGAGCCTTTCTTGTCTAAACAATAAATGCGCATTTAAAAAAAATGTAACAGAATATACCGGTACCAATCTCTCTTTGGTAGAACTTCGCTAAATAGATAAGAAACGCAACGAATGCAGCACTTTTAGGGCCGGTTACTCAATGTCTGGTTAACACGTATCTCCGGTTAAACATAGTTATCGACGCTATCGACTTCCCGTTGTATGCATGGAGTCGAAGACGTCGATAACGATGTTTAACTGCAGATTAGTGTTAACCAGACATTGAGTAACCGGCGCTAAAACACTTTTCGTTGTATGTAGGGATGCAGACGATGCATCGTTATTTTTTAAACATCGATATTATTGGTTCGAAATTCGATGTTTGCCATCGATGTTTACAATTTCCTAAAATCGCTAAATAGACGATATATCGATGACAGTTTCAGCGATGTTTTAACATCGAATTATGCTCGTAAAATTTTTTGACTGGCCATGAATTTTAATACTTATTCTTTTAAAAGGAACATTCAGAAATTCTGAGTTTACTTTTATCTTTCGATATTAAAAATGCATACTTAGTCATTAAAAAGGACCGGGATCCCGTTTAAATTTCAACGAAATTGGGCCTTGGAACTTTAGGTTCGGCGAACTCAGCGACGGCATGCATTTCTATTCTATTTATTGGGAAGGAATGGTAAATAAATAAAGGCAATAATTGAATTACAGAGAGTTGGAATTGAAAAGTATTAAATTTTCCTAACAAATTTCGAAACATCGGGAATCATCGAAATATCGATGTTTTTGTGGCGATGTATTTTAGCATCGATGTTCATTTTTCCTATGCATCGAATCATCGCTGTATCGATATTACTCCCCAAAATTTGCATTCCTAGTTGTATGTTGTTTTGCTCGAGGCTGAAAAAGCGAAAGCGCATACCTTAAAAACCATTTCGTTGCTAATCAAGTTCAAGGCCAAAGGTCAGTCATAAAACAGTCCCTAATCTATAAATAAGATAATTTCTGCCAATTCATAAATAACTGAAAATATCACATTTTATTGCTTTTTTCGTCACTTGACACATGTATGTATGTAAGTACACATGCACTTAACTTATCATCACTTTCTACACATATGTACGCCTCTGGAGTCCAATATTTACGCCTGTTTTCGAGCGTAACACAATCTTAATGGACGGTTCTATTGGTGGGCCCATTGGCAGCAGCTCGTAATATCGCAAAACTTGTACAATAACAGCACGCATTTCGTTTAGAGCAAATCGCTGTCCAACGCAATTGCGCGGTCCTGCGCTGAAGGGTATATGACTAAATGCGCTTGCCCGCGCATTCGCCGTCAAATGACGTTGAGGCCAAAAACGTTCAGGTTCGTCGTACACATCAGGGTCGCGTAAGATTTGCCACAACAGTATGAGTACATTGGTGCGAGGTGGTAAGGTGACATCAGCTGAAAGTTTAACCGCAAACGAAAACAAAAGACCGCTAACTAGCTTAAAGCTTCAAAAAGCGTCAGCTTTTTATATACTCACGCAACACCAGCTCTTCTTTAAGCCAACGTCCAATAACTGGTATGGGTGGATAGATGCGCAACGCTTCTTTAATCACACAGTTCAAGTAGCTGAGATTTTGCAGATCGCAATACTTAATAGGCCGTGTAGTGTCATCGCCGAAGTGGGCGCGTAGCTCTTCGAAAAGCTCGCACTGACAATCGGCATGGCGTGAGAGCAGATAGAGACAGAAAGAGATGGCCGATGTGGTAGTGTCGTGGCCCTCAAACATGAATGTGTTCACCTCATCGCGTATTTCGTCATCGGTTAGTGGTTGCCCTTCGGTGGTTGTGGCTTGTAATAGCACGTCCAGTAACGCCAAGCGTGGTTTCAATCCGATATCTGGGGAAGAGAATAAAACGATACATGATTATTAAGCGCGGAAAGAGTAGCTATGAAACTACTTGAGTTATACTGATTCTTCGGCAAAGCTCTGAAGGAGCAAGGGAAGGAATCGCCTAGGTTTATAAATCGGAGCTTTAAGCTTATTTGTGCGCTTTCAATGTCTTTTGTCTAGCTGACATAAAATAAAAGCACCCTCTATGCCCCAACTCTCTGGAGATTTAAGTTCCTTAGAGTTTTCGCCCTGCACACGTCTATAGAAAATGTATAGAAATCCTAAAAAGCTCTGAACTCAGGCAAACCGGTGCCCATCATTATTTTACTGTTATTTTAGAATGTGGCCTCCATAAAGCTTTTAGAAAATCTCTCTCTGTTAAGCACTGATCTAGGTATTTTTTTTATTTTGTACCCTTCCAATACTTGTTTTCTAAATGTGTTTAATTGTCGTTCTAGTTCAGCTACTCTGTGCGCGTTCATATAATTTTTTAAATAGACTTTATATGGACGCGTATCACACAGTAAAAGCTCCCTTTGATCGTCGCTGATCTATTGCTTTACCACTTACCTTCCGTCTGTGTCGACACGACTTCCGTGTTAAGATTACTTTTATTTTGTAACATCATGCGCCGCTCCGTAATAATTGTTTCAGTAAAACGATGCATAATTTCGATACCTTCCATTTGCTTCTCGTACTGTTGCGGTCGGAGTAGTTTAAAAAAGCGTGGAAAGGCCAAAATGGGGCGTATGAAACGTGTGGCAACAATATTTGTAACACTAAAACGGATAAAAAAAAATTAAACTCAAAATCTCCATAATGCGTTAGGCGAACTCACTCCTTCACCGCTTGCACAAAATCCGATTTTGAGTCATGCTGCGCATTCAGACAGACGCCCATGGCGGTTTCTGGCGCGAGAGCGAGTACCATAAAACAAAATAAAACAAAAATTACAACAATTACAAAACTGCACACATATCATCATCATCACCTGCTATAACATCGAGCGTCATTAGACCCATATATGGGTAAATATCCACCGGCGTTTTGCCATCCGCAAATCCAGCTAGTTTATCCACCAAAACACGACTCTGCCGCTCAAACACGTCTACAAATTGTTCAAGTATCTTGAAATGAAAGGCGGGCGTGATGATTTTGCGCATCGTCTGCCACTTGCGTCCTTGGCTAAGCAGCAGTCCATTGCCCAACCAGCCGCGTAGTAGCCAATAGAGTTGATTCTTTTGTATGTGCTTTTGACTGCTGAGCAGCTCTTCGACATAGCGTGGATCGGCTGTAACGACCATTAAGCCGCGTAGGACAGGCGCACAAAAGCTTTTACCAAAACGCGATACAAACTCTTGAAACTTCAGATGTAAATCTTGCGGAGGAATGTGAAAGAAAATACAACGAGAAATGGAGGGAGAAAGATAAAACAGAGAAATTAGTATAATCTAGTTTAAAGCGCAAATCTTTAAATTTAGTTACATACTATCCGGCTGAAAGCGCGCCAACACCAGTATACAACCCACAAGCGGTATCTTCGATACTAACGGTATACGCTGGTAGAATTCTCGATTACGCATACGGATATAATAGTCATAGAAAGAGATGAACAGCAGCGCCGCTAGCAACAGCTCCAAAAACATTTTGTTCCTGTTTTTTTTTTTTCAAATAAATATCTTAATATTTCAAAACATTTGCTTTTCAAACCAGCCAGCAGTCAGCATTGACGGTGTTGTACATAGTCTAACGCCTTAAACTCCGCTAGTGGTATTCATGCTGAAATTACATGCGCGCACTTATCAATTACTAAAACATGCAGCTCATCTCATGCCATATCATTTATTGTTCGTACATTTAGTTATAGAAATACATACACATTTTTATGAATATTGGAGGGTGCAATAAAAAAACGAATTAAAATCTGACAAGTTGACTAATTGTTCAAACTATTTATAGACTGATGAGCTGTTTGCCGCCCAATGTGGTTAGTCAAAAGGGGAAAAATTGTCCAGATATCGGTATCTTTTTCTCTGAGAGCTTTTGTATGCTGGTCGAATGCTATTGACAGCCAATATAAGCTCTCAAAGGCAGCTATTCAAAACTTGGAGCACAGGAAATTTTTCACTGTTTCATACTTACAATTTCTTCGACGACAATTGAGGACTTCATAATTTTTCTGAACTGTTAGAGAGTATACATATGTAGCTCGTTGAACCATCATACGCGCCTCTAGATGCGGTTTGGTGGAAAACGGTATGAAAGTTTCATCTAGAGCCCGCAACTGGATCTATACTGTGTTTTCTATCAGGACTGAAATGATATATACCAAGGAGAATCTTTTCTAAATAGTTAAGTTTTCCTTTGCCGATATACGGCCTCCGTCGATATACATATATAATTTCTATGTAATTGGCTCCAATGAAAAATGAACACAAATCCTGGGATGCGAACCCCCCCTTTAGATGACCACCACGAAAACGTTTCAATGACTACGATTTGAGGGCATGCAGCTCAAATGTCCGGACCTTTATTGGGGAAGGTGTCTCTGCCCGGCTGGTTTATGTCCTCGTAAGGACAAAAGCTGAAATCACCGCCATTCAAGTAATGAGTTGGACGGGGCAAGACAAAAAATGTCTGATCCTTGCGACGTCTACTACAGCTGCCATGTAAAGGACCGCGAATTCGGTGTTGGATTTGTGGTGGGAGAGAGACTCCATCGCCGAGTACTGTCGTTCACGCCGGTGGACGAGCCTCTAGCCACAATTCGTATCAAAGCGAGATTCTTCAACACCTCGCTAATCTGCGCCCATGCCCCATAGAATACAAGGTCTTATCGAGCGTGTTGTGTGAAATAATGAAGCCCGCCGTCAGTGAACTGATTGGGTCTGTTCTGCCTTTTCCAACGAGGACAAGACAAAGTATCTCCTGTCATCAAAAAACAGTCCGCGCATTCGCATCTTGGCACCCACGTCACTGTTGACAGTTATAATTTCAAGAAAGTAGAGAATTTCGTTTACTTGGGAACCAGTGTTAACACCGGTAATAATGTCAGCATGGAAATCCAACGCAGTATCGCTCTTGCCAACAAGTGATACTCTGGACTGAGTATGCAATTCAAGAGGAAAGTCCTCTCCCGACGTATGAAAACCTCTATAGTCACTTATCATACCCGAGCTGGTGTATGGATACCGAAGCAAGGACAATGACAACATCCGATGAGACGGCTTATGGAGTATTCGAGAGAAAGATTTTGCGGAAGATTTACGAGCCTTTACGCATTGGCGACGGCGAATACCGCAAACGATGGAACGATGAGCTGTATGAGCTTTACAACGACATGGACTTAGTGTACCGAATTTAAATACAGCGGCTCCGCTGGCCATGTCGTTCGAATAGACTCCGACGCTCCAGTTCTGAAAGTAAAAAACCCGGAACCCGTTGGTGGTAGCATAGGAAGAGGGAGGCTCCATTGCGATGGAAATACCAAGTGGAGAAGGACTTGGCTTCAGTTGGCGTCAGTTGGCACAGAAGAGAAACGACTGGCGTGCTTTGTCAAACAAGGCCCTAATCGCATAGACGGTTAGAGCGCTAAATAAGAAGAAGAAGAAGAAGAACAGTGGCGCAGCTACCTACCTGCAGATCACTCGCATTAATACCCCCTTATGTACGCTCTGCTCTTCAAATTGTCAACTGGGTATTCATGCATGCACATTTATTGACAGCACTATTGGCAGATTTAAGTTCAGATTATATGCGCCCTAGTATGTGTATGTGTGTATGTGTTAATACATCTGTTAGCACAACATGACTTGAAATTTTAGAAACACGCCACTTTAATTTCATAAACACATTTTACCGTCACATCTTATTATTTCTATTAAAGCTGCTATACGATTCGCCATATTTAAAGCATGCAATTGAAATGTTTAGCTGGGCGTAAAGAAAGCTAGAAAGCAAGCTGTCGCAAAGCGTTGATTTTCTGTACTAGGTATGTATGTATTTTCACTTCACGTTTATTGCCAATCGTTTTTGAAAGAATGCTGTTGGGCCACTACTCAAATGGCGTGTTTGAATGAGTTGCAACAAATGCCCCATTTGAGTAGTGGCATAACGGTATCCTTTTTTATTTCCTTGCATTTTTTTTTTATTCACTGCTTAGTAGATTGCTTTTCGAAATATGGTACAGCACCGTTGGTGGCGCATAGAATACTGCCATCTAGCATTTTTTTCACCCAACTATGTATGGTTTTTTTTTTTTGTTTTTAATGGGGAAACAAACATATGTACGTACATACATACACGGATATACATACGTGTACACAAATAATACGTATGCCACTTCACATAAATTTTTATATTAATTAATTTGATTTGTATACTATTATTATCATTTTAATAGTGCGCGATTATCTACACTACGTTTGAACACGTTTGGGATGTACTAAATAAGTACATACATATGTATCATACATATTTATTTTCTTATTATCACAGGTTTTTTGTACTTGCATACATTAGGGTGTCCCAGAACGTAAGAAGATAATTTTTTTCTGAAAAATGAAATACGCATATCAATATTTGCCGAAGCATACTTAAGATTTTGTTTTAGGAAAATGAGACTTCCTAAAGACGAGCCTATTTATCGATCGCAGCTTTGTACAGCTCCAATATCTACTTCCGTGACTGTATGCCTACGGGTTATCTAACTTCATCGGGGCTTTCGGATCCTGCCTTCTTCATCACTATCGTCTGTGACGCCTGAACATTTGTTGTTTTTGCAGCGGCACTAATAAGCCCTGCCAAAATTGGCTAGTCTATCAATCATAGTGGTCAAGTTCAACTAACGGTAGGCTAAGCAAACGTGTCTGTACAGTATATCGACACCTGATTGGAAGATCGACCTATCGCAGCAGCCAGCTCGAAAACGCCCTATCTGAGAAAACTTTTCAAGAACGCCCTACTTCAGAATTTGACCAAAGAACGCCCCATTTGAAGAATAGCCTTTCTCAAAATTCGGTTCAAAAACGTCCTATCTCAGCTGAAAATTTATTAAAAATGTGCTGAGATAGGGCCTTTTCGAACTGGCTGCCGAGATAGGTCAATCTTCCACTCAGGTGTCGATATACAGACCTTAAAAGTTGGTAAAATTCGTGGTTGTCTATCGGCAAATGTTGCTAAGGGCTTGTCTGTACATCGTTGGATCCAGTGGTTGTGCGATAAGTTCGTAAATAGCCTAAAAGGTGGTTCTGCTTCCATCAAGTGCCTGTTCGGGTGTTTCCCGTCAACAGCCGAATTGTTTGCGGAGGTCTAGCTAAGAAGGTGGTGCTCAGGCGACATTAGGAGGCATCTCATTGGTGTGCTTTGACAGTTCTGCAGCTCTGTGCTTTATTAACAATTGCGAGAAAGGTCTTAAAGGCAGACTTTTACTTCAGAGAGCAATCTGCAACCTAGGAGATCAGTGAAACTCCTTCTGATGACTGAGGAAGTTACGAGCTGTAGAAATTTAACAGAAGGTAAACCATGTGTCGGTTTTGTTGTGCGGCTTTAGAGGCATGTGCTCCGGTGAAGTCCTTTGCTCATAGTACTAAAGGGGTACTAACCACCAGAGTGTTGTTTGTAAGGTTGTCTGAATGCAAGTCGATCATCCTTATCAATGACGTCTACAATATATTATGATTTTCTCAGTACAAGAACAAATTTGCACATTTTTTGAGTTTCCACCAGAACGCCAGAATTCTTTAAATGACCTTTCAATTATAACCCTATAGCAAACTAAAAACGTAGATTTACTGCGATTGAACTTAACCTGAGCTTTAGGTCAAAAGGAAAAAAAAATGAGGCCTATGCGTACCGAATTTCTCAGAAGAAATTTTCTGGGACACCCTAATGTACACCTAACCATCCAAGCGGTCGTTGCTAACCAACTATCGCGTACATATTTAAAACGACATATGTATGTACATATGTACACACATTAACTATATATATACATATGCATATGTATAGTGTATGAGTGCTTAACGGCAATTTGACAATCACAACTGATCAAATCAAAATTTAACCTCTACAACCACTTAATAATGTGTTCACATTTTATGCATTTTTAATTTGATTACGCTCTGCGCTCTCATTATCATTATCATTTTTATTTAAATTATTTTTTTTGTTTGGCTTTTTTTTTAATATGGCTTCCCATTCATATCGGTTATGGGAGTGTGTGTGTGCATTATGGTTTTGCGCGCTCTCGTTTGCGGTCAAATACTAAAACAGAGAGGCCCGGCGCATAGCAGCAGCAACAAAATACAGACAATAACAGAGCACTAAACACAAAAACGGAGAAACAGAAAAATAGCCGTTGAGTCACAATAATATACACATGTACGTACATTTGTAATCACATGCAATTATGCATATGTATGTAACAATTTTTTATCTTACGTTATAACTATGACGGGTAATAAGCTGTAAGCTAAATATTGCTGGTTTTTAATTTATTGCTATTGCAAATTGGTTGTCACTTTGTTATTGTTATGTATGTATATTTTCACTCATGTATTTTATTTTATTTTTTCTCTACTTTTGCGCAACACGTTTTTCTTCTGCGCTATCGAAAGTGCAAGTAGCAGCGGTCTTGCGTGATATATAATCGATTTATTTATTTTAATTTATTTTATTCGTACACTAAAAGCTGCCGCACAAACACCTTAAGCTGACTACCAACAACTGGCAAATGCACAGCAGAAAAACTAAAAATTTAATAGAACTTTTGGGTTGTAAAATTCTTTTCGAGTTGAATGGGAGAGCGTAAAAAACTATTAGGAGAGCCGTTAGTGGGATGACGTTATTTTTTTTTT